CCTTTATGAATAGTAGGTGACTTGATGACAACCTGCAAGTGGTGATATGTTCGTCTAAAGACAAAACCTGCACTTAGGCACCTCAAGTTGCAATTGGTTGGTGTAATAGCACAGAAAGAGCAGAAGGGAAGCTATGGCTTAGGATTGTCTGGAGACATGTTTGACACAAGTCGATCGAGCTAAGTGCTAATAGTGAAGTAATTGGGTTAGAGAAATCGGTATTCCCTAAAAAATGCCCCCTCTATTTGGAATCCTCTATTTTGTTGACTTCTGAATTCCCACCCCCACCCACTCACCCTCCTCATTAATTCCAACTAGCTTATTTAAATAATGGATTTGAAGCGTGATCAAACTAAACCACCTATTATTGAGATCGTGTTTTGCTCTGGTATGCAGGTTTGGGTGGTATGTGAGCAATTACTTAGGCCACACTCAATGTCCACCACTTCCTTAAAAGGGAAAGGTAATATCTCAAAAGGCATTGAATACCTAAAAATTATTAAGAAGTATTTTTCCACCCCTCTCCCCACCCCCTCCAATTGATCAGGTTTCGTCATTGGTATTAGCCGATAGGTATCCTTTGACTTTAAGCACGTGGGAATTGATCACAACGCCCAAATTGAAATGGCTCTTGATAATCAATCACATATTGTTTCTAAGCCATAATTACGCGGTCATTAATGAAATCAGTTTGAACGAAAGATGTCCTCATATATAAACGATTCAAAATGATAATGACTAGAAGGATCACCACTTCACCCCTCCCCCCCTCCCCCCAACCACTTTCTCAACATTTCAAGAATATGAGCTAAGATTCGATCCTTTTATGCCAATACACATACATACCTCCTCATTCTATCTGCTATTTAGATAATAACAGGCAAAATCTCATCAGGTAGGAGAAATAGAGCACAAAACGCGTAAATATCAATAACCATCCACAATATTTTATGCATATAAAATGAAGTTGTTTTCCAATGGAAAGGCAGGGAAGCGTGGAGCGAGAAGGTGTGTTATCAGAATAAGGAAAAGTGAGAAAGTATCTGTACATTGATAGACCAAACGGGCGGAAGTTGGACGGGTGGCTCAAGCCTCGAATGAAGCTTCATTGAGAAAGCGGATCAGGTAGAGAGAGAGAGAGAGAAATCATCAACAAAATAGGCTTCTCCGCACCGGGAGAGGGGGGTGGGGGGAGGAATCCAAGAGATTTTGATTGACTAAGACATAATCGTTGAGGGCTAGGGTAAGATAGGAAGACACTTGTTGATGTCACACCTGATCCTGATCCGAAAGAGCGACACTGACCTGGAATCTCAAACTTTAATCCGCTCGTTCCACGCGAGCTATCACCTTGCCCTCCCAAAGTGGCAATATCGCGTTATCGTCTCCAACCTCTTCATGTACACACCCAGTTCCGAAATCGTCACTTGCCGTTTTGAAGAAGTATCTGCAATTGGAACAAAGAAAAGAGTTATTAGACTAGACTAATATGCCTTCCATCCCATCAGTTTGTCTTAAGAGCTATTAACCCATCACCCTGTCTCTTGGATGCCTTTGAATATTCAAAATAAATGAAGTTTCAGAAGAATGTGCTCTAAAGTTCTTGCACTGTTGTTCCCAATTTCTAAAACCTTAACCCATCGGCAGAAACATAGAAAAATCTCTTTTATAACTCGACGTAGGGAAAATTTTGATACACAGGCGGCTTTGATCAATCATTAAGCAAAAGAAGAATAGAAGTACTCAAGAGTGAGTAGTTCAAAGCTGACCAATAAGAGGACTTAGCACAATTCGTTCAAATGCAATAAGTTATAAACCAGAGAACAAAGAAACCGGGATTAATTCAAATCACAGAGCGAGCGATATTTAAAGTATCATAATGCAAATAGGTCATTTGGCAGATCGATGATGACGTATAGCGTGCCAGTCTGGTGGCGCCTTTAGAGCGAACACAACTTGCCCAGCGAGGGCGATGATTATGATGTTAATGCTGGTGATCCGCAGATTCTGCGGCACAATCTCACTTTTGATGTCCGAGCGAGAAAGCGAATCTAGCAGCACAACAGCGCCTATTAATCATCCGCCTTGCTGAGAAAAAAACCGGACGCCTGGACGGACGCTTATATAGTTCCTCCTTCCCGCCTGTCGCGTACTAAACCCCTTCTTTACTGCTGCTGCTGCTTCTACGATTGCTAAGGCTCTAAATGGGGGTGGGGGGGGGGGGGGGGGGGGGGGGGGGAAGGGAGTTTAGGCTAGCCGTTAGATGAAAGGAGAGTGCGCGGTGCGACTACTTTGATTGCTCTGAACGCGCGTGCAGCAAGCCAGCCAGTGCCCCCTCCCTTTCCTACCTTCAAAGCACACGTGTCCGACATCGATTTCGCGCGTTCGTTCGGCGCACTAAGATGAAGGAGAGCAAGAAAGGGCTTGACCGGCTACCGCCGGCTGACTGACTGCCTGTCTGTCTACTCCCCCCAATGCGCATATTGTTTGATGAAGCCGATTCTCAACTATGAATTTCGGTCGTATATCCCCCAGAGCAAGATCTCTACCTCAACGACAGGATAAAATGAGGCCTTTTTCAGCCAAATCTCCATTGAATAAGTCTGTCTAACGCGACTGACTTTCACTGTGAAATTCTGTATTATAGCCCTACTACTCCAAGCCTCCAATCGATGGGGAAGAAGCATACTTCAGCCGCCCAGTTTAGGTAAAACGAAGCTATCATTTGAAAAGAAAGGAGGTGGAATAAAACCGGAAATGTATATACATATATGCAAGCTCCGTTTATCGGCTACCGATAAATGGAGCCACGGCCCAGTAAGAGAGAGAGGGAGAGAGAGCGAACGACAATGGGGGAGGGAGGGAGGGAGGAAGAGATAATATAGAGACCGAGCGATTTTTTGAAGTAGAGGTAGGAAGAGGTAGAAGAAGAAGAAGAAACGAAAAGACATTTCATACTCGCCGCGTATGCTAGGGGAGGAATTCTGTCCTCCACTGCCCCTAAACAGCATGATTGATTGAACATTGGAAGAGAGGAAGCATAATTAGAATCCACGCTACGTAAGGAGAGGAAGAAGGTGGCTAATGTTATGTATAGTCACGCAATTCCTTTCGCTTTTGCGATGGTGTGTGCTACAGCAGTAGTCCTAATTCTAGGCCATTGTCCTGCTACCCCAATTTATTTGCGCGTGTTCATCGATTCATAGAATAGATATCATGACCTCAACCCCTATATAGTAGCATGCAAGCGCGATGTCCAGACTGTATAGGCGACAAAGGTGAACTAGTAAACGGACACACATCTCACTCGATATCCATCCTCTCTCTCTCTCTCTCACTAGCATCCCGCGGTGTCCAACAAAAAGTAATCCTTTTTTAAAATTCCAAGAGAGGGAGAGAGAAAGAGCATTTACTCACCGGTAGACACCCTTTTTGGCAACCAGTTGTTTGAATTGTCCCAGAGTGATAAAGGGAGGAGAGTCAGGAGAAACGAGAGGACCAGTCCAGACAGTTCGATAGGGAACTGGGTCATCACAGAGGTAGTAGCCAACCACGAGGCTGAAGGTAGGTCCTGTTGGCGGAGAGAGGAGGGATGATGGTGGATAAACGCCATTTCCTCCAGGATTGACTTTGAGAAGAGCACTCTCTGTACAACGAGTTGTAACAGTACTGCCAATCGTTCCACTACAGGCAGTAGTAGCAAACTTTTGTCGTTCAGGTCTATAAAAAAAGAAGTTGGAATGAGCGAGTGAGAAATACTCAAGCCAGTGACAGCAACACCGCTGGCTATGCCGCTACTCAACGCGAAGCGGTTATGTCAATTCTCGCGCTTGTCATAAACGCAAATGACAGTCGTCCGCCCTTTGACTGCCAATGAGTCAGTCAATTCCGCACATATACAAAGTTGAATTTAACGAAAACCTGCTTCTACTACCCAAAGCTGATGGCTGTAACTAGTTAACAAACTAGGGGGAGAGAGAGAGAGATAATGCGCGGGTACCATTTTCAAATCGTATTATCGAGAGCATCTTTCTTTTACCATCAGCGAATTGCAATTGATTATAGTAAATCTGATTTCGAAGGGAGGGAGGGAGGGGGGAGAACTAAATTGAACTGAACCTAATCAGGTGGGAATCGAACCCGTATTCTCTAACTTCACTGACTAGTGTATTAACTGAAAGAAACTAACCTATTAGGCGGCGGAGGATGGTAACCAGGACTGAGAAGATCGAGACTTGTTGTTATCGAAGCTGTGAGTCCAGGTTCATTGCCTTCACTCAAAAGGCGATGGCTAAGCTCTGAAGAAGAGCAAACACGAAGTGTGTTATAGCCACGGGATACATGCGAGAGGTATTTCGAATTTGATTTTGAGGAACAACTCTTACCACCATTCTCCCCACAATTTGCAAGAGGGGTCATACGCCCACCGAATGATGTTGGAGTTGCACCATCGATTTGTTGCGGTTGCCTGAAAGATGAAAGAAATTATAATGTCCTACAAGGCACTGAGATTATGAGAATCAATAAATTGTGCTGTTAAAAGAAGGAGGGGGGGGGAGGACTATAAGATTCCGCATATATACACATAAATGCGCACAACTGCGGTGTGGCAGTTACACTTTGATGTTTGTGTGTGTGAGAGAGAGAGAGAGAGAGAGAAAGAGCAGGGGGGGGTAAGCTAAGTGGTGCGCTTTGCCTTTGATGTAAAGCCGCCCCCAACACACAGAGGCGGCCAGGTAAATACACATGTTTACACCTGCGTAAGGTGATAACTTACACAATCTTATGCGTTTCTTCATGCCTTGACCTTCTTGGAGGTGGTAGATGATCATAAGTCGATGAGAGGCCTGAATCGAAGACACTAGGTGAGTCAGAGGTCAAGCTTCGGCTACGCATTGCCCGACCACTCCCTTCCAGATTGTAGTGATGGGTGCTGGTATGGTGATATTGTTGTTGCATTCGAGTATATTGTACTCCCCATCTGTAATTTCCACTGCTACTACTACCACCACTCGTTATCACTTCTTTCCTATGATCAGCTGGAGTTGAGCTCATAGAAGGTGTACGTCGACAGAATGAGCAGGACGGTTGCTGAGGAGGGGCGTAATTCCACCTCTGGTAGCTTTGATGATGGTGGTGGTGATGATGAAAAGCGCCAGCCCGACTTACGCAGGACTCAGAATCAGAGCTATTAAGACCTCCAGCACCGCAGGTTCCGACTCCGCTATCGAAGGAAGATATTGAATAGACATCCGAGCGACGACCACTTCCTCCCTTTCGACAAACATTAAGAGGCTGTCCACGGCGTTCATCCGTCCAGATTCGAGAGCAGTGGTCTTCCAGAATGACTTGTGCGTCATCTGGAACTGGAACTCCTGATGCAACAGATGGAGGCACAAGAGCAGACAACTTCTTGCGAAGCAAATCACCACTAGCTGCTGAAGTCGCCCGACGGGAACTTGAAGATAGACGAGTAGAACGGATGGGTAGAGGAGGAGTAGGAGGTTTTGCAACTTCGGCATGGATGGAAGCCAATTCTGAGTCTTCCCCACCTGCTTCTTCCGCATCAATCTAAAGAAATAAGGAGGAATGAACCACAATTATGACCTCAGTAAAAGTATTGAAGAATAAGAGTAGAGGGTCAATTAGCACTTACGGGTTGCATCCTGGATAAAAGGCGCTCCATTTTCCCTCGAGACTCCTTCACCTTCTCTAGTCTGTGACTCAAAGTCTGAGCAAAAGCGCTGGGATCGATTTCAGCCAGATTTGTACCGGGTTTTCGAGAAGTATTAGTGGTGGCAGTTGTGACATCATTAGCCGGGACCGCATTGGACCCCATTTGAGGAGGTGGCTTAGTAGGATTGGGATGGTCATTTTCTGGATTTATAGACATTGAAATGGCATTGGGATTGGGATTGTTACTTGGAGCAGCAACAGCACGCTCTGCGGGATTAATGTAGGTAATGAGTTCAGAAGCTGTAACCAGTTCCCGTGGACCAGAAATACCAGTCTCGGCCGTTGTCCGGCGACTTTTATCTGAGGATATTGTTCCGCAGTTCGATGCTTTTGCAGCATGCCTAGTAAAATAAATAATACAATTTGATAGACTGTTCTAGATTTGCAAGAATATAAGGCTGGAAGTAATTACCAACCTGCGCACCATAACATAATTCTTCTCTCTCTTGATGATTACACACGTGAAGGGAAAAATCAGTTGCACTCACTACTTTATATCGGCTGTGCTTCAATATGGTGTTGATTCCCGCCCAACTACCTAAGTCTATCAAGGACATTAATAGAAATCAGCACTCCCACTCTAGCACTCCTCGTGCTTCGACCAAATGTAGTCACAACGGCTGGTCGTCCACATCACTGGAAATGCATCAATGAACACAGGCCTTGCGAACATAGACTTATAAGCAGAATGACCAAGGCACTTTGATTTAACTTTCTTTCTCTAACCTTTTTTTTCAGAGCAAGCTCAGAAGCGAAATACTCCGACTAAGTAGCAATATGGTATTGACTTTTGTAATTTAAAAGCGGAATTGACGTGGTAGTTTGCTAATTCAGTAATACACTGATAATCCCGAAGATCATTTTAGAGGACGCATTCCAACAAACGTCTTGGGTAGAGGAGTAGTATTAAGAAGCCACGCCGGTTTGAAGCACGGTTTTTCCTCTCTCTCTCTCTCCTTTACTAGCCAGATTTAACCAACGCAATTGGCCATTTCGTTCATTGGGTGCGTATTAATGAATATCGAAACCGTCCCGTAACTGCTGAAACACAACAACAATTGCAAACCGAAAAAAGGCTTTCCGTCTCTCAGTTTTTCTGGGGTTTCTCTGGGTACTAAGGGCATGATAACAATGGTTTACTTTTTCAGGAGTCCATCCGTTTAAAAGCCTTTCTATATTTAGCTAGGTCTTAAATCCATAAATAGGATTCATTTAAGGAGATAAAAGGGCCTTGTGATAGCCTGACCGAAGATGCATACATACAACAGGCACGTGTATGTGTGTGTGCGCATGCTAGACGATGAAGTCAAAAATCGATACACAGGCACAGATGGGCTGACTGGCGCAAGTGCACAGAGGCAGCAGGCACGCACAGCACCACACTGTACACGCACACCAACATAGCTTGGTTGTGTGCAAGGGTGCAAACGTGCTTGCTCGTTCTTTGAACACAAGGCAGCGGCGTCGGCGGCAAGCGGCTTGGCGATGTGTGTGCTGTCAAAAGGCCGATAACCCCTATCCCCTCCCCTCCCCCCCCCTTCCTCTCATCCTTGTGTTCTGTGGGGTGTATGTTGATGATACCGCACCGCTGCTGTCGCTGTCGCAACTCCGTCATTTCTGCATCAACTATCAGGTTCACCATCTAACCATACGCACTGCGTGCTTGAATAAGTATCGCCCCTCTAATTCAGTCATTTACAGAGCGATGGCTACACCCTCCATTTCTATCCCTCAAATAAATTATAAAGCATTGATGGAAAAGTGATTTACATCTTGGACTATGTCAAGATAAACGACGATGTATCTCTACAGACCGATCCACCATGACCACAACTAAATAAATTGACAAGATGGTTAAACTCTAACGATATACACTTTAAATGTATTGTAATTCAGAAAATATATTGAAAAAAATTGCGATGGGTTAATATTAGCAAATAAAGTGATGTATAATTCTGTTGCAGAAAAGCTATATATCCATGACCAACCTGTAGCACCATACAGGAACGTTAAACATGTTTAAAGTAGCGAAAGTTGCAACCAATAGTACAATCTTGATGGTAAAATTGATTCTAGCTATGATATATACCCTCAACTTAGAGCCAAACAATGATTGACGGCTTGATAACTCCCAGAACTTGTTAAACCCCTTGACTTAAAAACCCTGCTAGAATACTGCATACTAATTTTCCTCGAAGAAACGGCAGGGATTTCTCTAAAAAGAAACTGTTAAATCTAACTTTTGCTTTCCGTGTGTTTAATTGGCTTAGAAGTCATTTTAGAACACATTTAACTTACGTTGCAGAAGGAAGGCAAGGAACATCGCATTGATCCATAACACAAGTCGAGGAGTTTTGATCAGTTGGATCAATCGTAGAATGGGATACGCCTTCCCCACTTCCTGATTGATTTCTGATTGAGGCGATGAAAATAAAAAAGATATTAGGGTCAGACTCTACTGGCAATATAGAAAATTCAGAGATATATAAATATAAAGAATGAAAAATTATGTAACAGCTAAAATGATAAAGGAGACTTATTTGAAAAAAAGAGATTATTAAAAGTTTGTCTGTACCGGCACTTTTGAGGATTAGAGCCCAAATAATTTCCACGTCTTAAATTTTCTGATTGGTCGGTAAATCCATGGCGAGAAGATTTTCCAGGAAGAACGGAATTGCACTCCAACACCGAAAGGGATTGATGAATCATACGGTAGGAATCGGATTGAAGAAATTCAAGAAAATAGCTGCGAGCAAGAATATTTTGAATATCCGCCTGAGCAGCATCGAAAAGTGAGCGTAAAATGGGGAAACGTTTCTCGCCATTAATCGAATTGTGGTAGGATTGTGAAAATGCAGTTAATGTGGAACGAATTTCCCGCTTCGTAGAATCATTTACAGGAACCGATAAAGCGGCATCAGTTTTGATATAAGTCCGATAGATGGCCTTTGCTACTTGAAGAAGTTTGAGTTGATCATCACCATCCACTATGGAGCGAAATCCTTTGCAGGCAAACCAGAAGTCTAATAGATGACCAGAGGAAAAAGTAGACGAAAGAAATTTGTGAAATTGTTGAACACCCTCAGAATCATTCAGTAGAGTATCTAATTGGTGACTTAATGGGTGATGAATGTCCATGTTCTGTGATTTAAATGCTTTAGAGAAGAAAATGTGACTATAGATGCACCATTATGACAGAAAAATTGCCGTCTAAAAAACTAGACACGAAAACAGCCGACCATCAGCAACAGGTGACCCTTGAATATGCGCGGAGTTGGATTCCAATTTATTTTATGTAATTTTTTCATATAAACAAATATTTAAAATAGCATACATTTAAATCAAAACCGATTTCAAGTTATTAAAAATGAATTAACTAACTTTAATATTTATAAATTTGTGTTGTGTTATCATTTGCTTTTTTGATAGCATAGTTGATAAAATTAGTCTGCATATATTTCTTCTTTTTAATGATTACACGAGCTGCAAATGTTAAAAGGTTCCACAAATAAGTGAAGCTTATTCTAATCGACCTTCATAAAGAAAATGATTAAAGTTATGTTGTCTTTTATAAGATCGTGTCACAAGTTTTTAAATAAACCTCTCTTTGAAACTAATATACATAATCACTTAAATAAACTTTACGCAAGGAGATAAATTTAAGCTTTATTATCCTCCCTGGGAGAATGCTTTTACAATCGACTGCATATGATATAATAAATGACAGGACTCATGAGAATTACTGTCACAGTCATTCGGGTTAAACTCTTATACATTCTTATTTATTTAAGGGTTCCCTATTATTGACAAAGATTCTTACTTGGTTACCTTGAACATCATATTTTGTTTTTTATTTCATAGGCCTGATTCGCTGATACTTGCCCAATGGCCAGCGCGAAACAGTTTTGCAATTCAAATTTTAATTTTAAAGTTATTTCTTACTTCTCTCGTTGAGATCTGTTTAAGATAGGCAATGGTGAACTTATCTACCGAATTTTAGATGAATGATTCTCACATAAGAATCGCAAATAGTTATTCTGCTGAGGGCTTAATTAGCGTGCCTTATCTGTATTCCTTCTTATTTCAGGGATTATTTTACTACAAATATTTAAAAGGTAGTATAGCAAGTAATCAAATGAAAAATAACCGCTCTTAAGTTATATTTGACAATTCAAATATTGTTTATTGATCAGTTAATTACTCATTTTAAATTTTGTTTAATTATTTTAGCATTGAGATTCCTGCCAATGTATCTTCATTGATTAAAGTGCATCTATTTTAGAATCAAAATCCATTAGCTAAATAACTTTCAATTCTTTAAATATGTCTGTCGTTTGCTAGTTCAAAGCCCGTGTTTAAAGGTGGCTGACCTATAAAACTAAACATAAGAGACTTTCAGGCATGAATTGGTGTGAACAGTTCACTATGCCATCATTCAAAAGCCATTGATAATTTTGTAGGATAGGTGTCATCCAGCAATCTAATGTCATGTTATATCAATAAATTCGTTTTGTAAAACTGTGGTCTGAGTATATTTGGGTATTTCCATAGTCCAATCTATCTCACACTTGTACTTGCTTACTTATAATTAATAAATTATACAAAGATCCCTACAATACTTATCTCATACACCGTGTTAGTTGATACCACAAGTTTGTCATGGTGGACTGTTTAGATATTACTGCTGATACCGCAAAATAAGTATAAACTTGGCCATTCTCGTGCTTATTAAAGTCCACACGGACTTTAGGGAACAGGTGATGGAAGGTTGTTTAATGCACACTTTATTCTATGATTAAATCAGATCACATGTTCCAGGGGAAAGGAGCTATTATTATTCGATATAAAAGAGTTCAAACTTTAGGGTGGTAGAAGAATAAAAGTCATGAAGAATGCACATAAGCTAGTACATATCAGTAGTTGGCTGTTTGGCGTAATTGTGGAGTATGTGAACAAACTCAGCACAGATTGTAAATATATTGCAAGCTTAGGGCTGTTTAGATCCCCATAGTAGTTAAACGAGAGTGGACGATAATCTGACTGTGGCGAAGGTCTCTATAGGAGTTAAATAGATATGCACCTTGACAAAACTATGGAAGCCTGATTAATGCGCATTAAGGAATTTCAAGGATTGTTGTTGACACACTGTCTGCGGACGAAAACAATTTCTTAGGAAAGTACTTAAACACCGAATGCTAAGTCAGGTTGAGTGTAAGCGTGCCGAAAAACAGCTTTGTTTACAGTACCATTTATAAACCACCGGGTAACCAGAATACAACAGGTCCCTTGTCAATAAAGAAGGGTATATTAATATCGTGTTTTTAAAGGTAATAAATACAGAATATCATGGGTATACTGAACAGTCAGTAGTTCAAAACATCCGTTGATAGTATTAAACAGGAACTTCGATTCAAACCACATATTCTGGGAAACTTTTGTTAACTCAGTTGGTGTGATTGCTGCAATTGAATTGCGAGTACTCATTTTAAACTTTTCGGTTTCATCACCATTTACTTTGAACACTTCAACGTGTTCTGGCATGAAGGTCGACTAATGCTAATTTGAGAGGAGAGGTGCCTGGTTAATCTCCACGGGCTTCAGAGCAGAGTATCGTGAACAGGTTGACCATTTTCCGGCAAGCAAACCACATGTATACGTGTGTCCTTGGCAATTGAACCTGCAGGTCTAAATTTAGAAATCGCTTTTTGATAAAATTTTAGCTGCAACAAAAGTGGATAATTTGTGGTGAACCTTTAGTTTCAACAATAACAACACACTGATCGATTGAAACCGGCATTCTGTAGGACTGCGATCACACCTGCTATTAACAAATGGTGACGAAATACTGACCACACGTTTAGCACAAAATGGCCACGGGACATCTCGAAACCCAGCGCTAACTTTCAATTTCACTTTCAGGCCAGCATACACCTGTTTACTGCTCTGCCACTCAAGGTACTCAAAAAATATTACCCACTAAACCAATATATCTTTAAACAGCTAATGATAGAAAGCGCATAAATGGAATGAGAAGAACAATCTATATATCTATCAACAAAGGACGTAAATCATAAATTAATCAATAGTTAGTAATCAAGATGGAACCATGAAATGATTAATCTGCCTTGGCACGAGCTAGAAATTTGTTTTGTCGGTACATTTCAAATCGGCCGATTATGAAGTCCCGAAGAAATCCGGGAAGAATTCCAAGTCCAAATACCATCAATTCATGGGGCATAAAACCACAGCATTCGGATGAAACACCGATCATATTTAACGCAGAGTTGGCAAAAACTTCAGGAGTTGGTTTGAAGTAATTCAACTTCTTTTCGCCTCTACTTGGAGTCCAAACAAAACCAGGAGTGAGAGTGAGAAATCGAATCTGAGTCTTAAGAAGGCCACGCGACTCTGCACCAACAGATTTTGAGAAGTTTTGAACAAACGATTTACAACCTGCATAGAGAGATTTGTAAGGACGTGGGTAGATGGCCGAAACAGATGACATATTAATTATACATGGAGGATGACTAGGATTAGCATTTTGCAACATCTTTGGCATAGTAATACGAGTCATACAAGCGTTGGAAGTGATATTACAAGCAATCATTTGTAGGATAAATTCGATGTTCAAATATTCGCAATTGACGGTAGGGGCAGCGCAAACTTGAATCATTCCGACATTATTTACAAGACAAGCAACCGAGGAAAGGGATTCGATTTCACATTTGAGGGCTTCATAAAAGTCATGCTAGGAAATATAATAATTATGAAGTTTTCAATCTACCTGTGTGAAATCAGCTACAAATACCTTAGTTTGAACGTTATAAACACGTTGGATATCCTGAGCGACACGATTAAGTTTTTCAGCATTGCGGCTAATGAGGAATATATTTAACCCATCACTAGCAAGTTCTTCGGCAAATGCTTTTCCAATGCCGTCAGTTGAACCCGTAACGATTGCCCACTCACCAGCCTCCCTCAGATCTTTTCGCTTAGAGAGAGACTTTATAACAGGATCCGTGTACATTAAAAACCTCCAAAGTAGACCAGTTAGCTTGTATATAACATATACTAAAACACAGGAAAATAAAAATCCAGACATCAGTGTTATTTAACAGTCGAAAGGTAAGAACTGCGCCCAATTTTATTCAAGGTCAATGAATGGAATTAAGAAAACGTTAAGCAATTAATACGATGTTTTAAAACGTACTCAAACTAAAATATCAGGACGCGCTTATTGTAAAATTTTAATTTTTAAATATCCAAAAAACATAAGCATTTTGGATTGATTAATTATTTCGTTATTAGACAATAACTTGAACTTATTAGTAAATTTTATGAAACAGACCTTCATCAAAAGATAAGGTTCATCTTAATATGCTGAATTTAGTAAAATTGCATTGACCCCTTAAAGAGAAATACTTGAAGAGGGAAGAAAAAGTAAATCACATTATTTAACAAAGTTATTTATTCAAAAGTAAGTCTAAACAATCTTCTTACACCAATAGTTCACACAAATTGATAAACCAAAAAAATAAACTTTGAGCAGTGCATAAAATTTATCTTGCATTTTCATTAATTTTTCATTCTGATTATGCATAATTGTTATATACCAGAATATTGTATTAGAATACCTTTTATCAGCATGTATAGTAACTACTCCATTGAATAATTTAAATTACCCTATATAGAGCCGAGAATTGAATAATGGACATTTTTATATATGCTTGTGCTTTGTGTTTTGTGGAACGATCACATGAAGCCAAAATTTGTTATCGAAATATTAAGTTCAAGCAAAGAACTATTTTATATACGGAATATCTCCAACAGAAATAAAGAAAATTCCGTTAACAAAGAAAAACTTTAATGGCCTATTTTTTACCAGGAAAATATATATTTTCATTAAGCATTTTAAGTTTCACTTTTACGTCCTTAAAACCCCGCTTAGTTTAGTAGTGTAGGGTGTGTCGTTTTGTTTTTTGATTTCTTCTTCCACCATACATCATGTCCCAATCAGTGAATGAACAACGAGAATTAAAAATGAGCGCACAGAGGAAGCTTGCTCAAGCCAAAACGCCCATTGAAAAATTGAGATATACTTGTCTATCTCGTGGAGCTAGTGGCATCAATGGTCTTGCTCGTCAATTTCGCATTATTGATGACGACGGCAATAAACAATTGTCAAAAGAGGAGTTTGCTAAAGGTTGCCACGACTTCAAGGTTGATCTCTCTAAGGAAGAGATTGATCAAGTTTTTGCAGAAATTGATCGAGATGGATCTAACTCACTCAACTTTGATGAGTTTCTCGAGGCTTTGAGAGTAGATTAAAATATTTATTTTTTATAAAATTCCATAGCCACCAATGCCTGAGTGTCGCAAAAAGTTGGTTGAAACGGTCTTCAAAAAAATGGACAAAACTGGCGATGGTGTTATTACTGTATGTTGGTTTTCTTCAAGTAGTTTTCTTTTGGCTTTGAGTAATTTATCACTTCTATTTTTCGACAGGTTGATGATCTAAGGGGTATATATAACACTAGAAACCATCCAAAGTATTTAAGTGGTGAACTTTCCGAAAAGGACATCATGCGTGAATATCTCAAAACCTTCGAAAGCAGAGGTGATGTTGATGGAATAGTAAGTTATATCTGTTTCTCCTAACTAATTTCTATCACGCATTTACCATTTGACATTTGATTTTATCCGGTATTTTTAATTAACTAACAATATTTATTAAGGTCGTCATTTTGTTTTCTTATTAATCATGGTCTTTTGTGCTTTTCCCACATTTACTAAGATTACATAAATTCCACTTATTCTCTACACTGCTTAAATATATTAATGATTTCAACTGTGTATTTTCATCCGACACTTTTGTTAATAATTTTGTGTCGAAGTCAGAAACACTAGAATCAAAAAATGTTACCGTCACGTAGTTAATCGTCTCACTTCTAATGAAGCATTCACAAAATAGGCAGTTCCAACTGCATTTGATTTACGTTAGCCAGTGTCAAGGCTTGTTGGTAGCTCATTCTATTAGTCGATTAAAATGCACGATATTTCGCTATTAATCAGTTAAAAGTGGCAGTCATGTGTGAATGGCTACTCGCGCACTGCTTTCCTTTTAAATACTGCTTAACTTTATTCCTTTTTTACTATTACGATTCACTGATTAATTTCTGACTTAATTTTTTTAATCAATTTCGATTTACTAGGTGCTGTCTTGGTTTTTCCTCTTTTATTTATGCAGTGATGCAAATTGCTAAGTTCGGAAAGACAATAGCAATAAGAATTCTTTTTTTACTGTCTTTTCTTAATACTTTTGGCCGAAGCCGTCTCTCACCAATTTTAATTTTACTCTAATTTATTCCTACATAGAATTATTTGGTGCTAGATGTCATTTATACTCGATTGAATGTCCAATGTCTGTCCACCATGAATGATGTATAGACTGGCGATACACTTTTAATCCAACCATCTCAGGCATTTAGAGACACTTTTAGACCAAATGCTTTCTTTGTGATTTAAGCGTTAACCAAATAATTACGGTTTTATAAAAAAAATCGTTCGATCTTCCTTTTTTATTGTTATAAACTACTTACTCTCCCAAAATACCACACAAAAGCCAGAATTCAATCATTTATGCTTTATGCGAGGCAGCAACGTTACAATTTCTCCATTTTTATAAATAATGTATAAAATTTATCTTCAATATTACAATCATTTCTACGAAAAAATTTCCCCTCCTCCAAGAAGGGGGACAATGCTAGTTACTTTTTTGAGTTCAGATAATCCAAATTAGCTATTGAACCCAGTTTACTTTGATCAACTTTTGACGTTTCTCTTTCTACTAACTGGTTGCATCACGTTTTAAATCAACTCAGTGTGTCTTTATTTCAACACTTTTATTTCTCTTTCTAATCAATATTAATATTTTTCATTAGGTAGAAAATAACTCCATTCCTTCTTAACTTACGTGCATTCGCATTCCTTTGGGTGTAATCACTGAAAGGTTTCAGAGAAAAGTGCACCTTTTAATAGTGGGGTCAAAATCTTTACTTAAAAACACGAAGGTCAAAGGAGTAGTAAAAGGAATCCTCTCCTGTTTGAGCAAGTTTTAGGAGTTAAAGGCTGAACGGTAACTGCAATGGTATTTAGAAAACAACTTTCCATGAATGTTAATCAGTTAGTTTATGAATTTGTGAAATCATTTCTTGTTCACTTCAAACAAGACGATGGATCATTGAAATTACTTGCCCAAATTACTGTGGGTACCTTTAAATGCCGCATTGGCCAACATCATCCACCTCTGTCAAGTCAGGGGTCACGAAATTACTCCTCCTTTGTGGTCTTTCATTAACTTGAATGACCAATCACATTGCTTAATTCTAGTATATCTTCCCTCTTCTCAAGTCAAGTGTTATTAACATTTGTAAAGTTTTTTTTAGTATAGTTCGAATTTCAAATGAAAATTTCATATCATGGACGTTTCAAGTTTTCTTTTTTGCCAAAAAACAGATAATTTTTTCAAACTGAGATAAAGAATTTCTTCTCAATCATCCTATACATCTAATTGTGGAGACTTTAGGATTACCTAGATTTTTTCGGCCTTAGTGGTCGATTTATTTTATTCTTAGTTATTTCCTTATCGATTTTAGCGTCTGCCCTTTTCTGCCTTTCAGGTGACTTGGGATGAGTTTTTGAGTTACTACAGCGGTGTGAGTTCATCAATTGATGACGACATTTACTTCGACTTAATGATCCGGAATGCCTACAAGTTATAGAGGTCTTTGCATTATCTCTCTCTCTTGTTGTCTTTGCCTTTTATATCCCCCCAAAAAGATAGGAAATAAAGTCCCTTTTGCCGTCTCCTCGCTCTTCGTTTTCCTCTGAGGTTCTAGTCCTTTGCGCCAATTATGTCGTTCGAGAGACATGCTAATTTATCGCGTTTGTCGAGAAAATATATATCCGCTTCCATTTATTCAATTTTTTCTACATTCCGTTAAAATTGAAGCGAGAAAGCATAAAAAAACGCGTCGAATTCTTGTATCTCTCCTCTCCGCAAAAATCATGCTTTATGCGTGTGCGTAAGAATCTGATTAGTCGACTCTTAAGGTCAAGTTGTGATTGGTTGATGTGCCAACATGGTAATCCACTTTCATTTGGCAAACTAAAGTGACCGTCTCTGAGATTTGTATAGGAATTGCACACTGGCCGGATGAAACGACGGCGCTACACCCCACAAGCCAAACTAAACGGAAGTGTATGAGTAGCTTCTGTTTAACACATGATAGCCAATTATTTCATCCAAGTCCGTGTGAAATTTTTATATTATGCAAACTTAAAAAATTATTTAGGCATTTTTAAACGCTCATCGTGGATACTAAAATCATGACTGAAACTTATTTTATTTAAAATTTTGAATAATGCGCCGAATCGAGAACTGGTCACAAATTTTGGAGTATTGGAATCCAGGGGTTAAAGTGTATATTGAATTAACTAAGGAAAAATTATCTTAGGATCTCGTGCATCTATGTTAGGCTATGCCTTTATACTTGAAAACGTTTGAGCAAACTGAACAGACTGGGAATTCGGGTACCGTCTTACCGATTCCCCCAGTATAATAAGGTTTTAATGAGATAAACGTGGGGGGCGATGCGTCAATTCAACACCAATTCGTTATTGCGGTTGAGATATGGACCGTCTACGTCAAGGTGTGCGGAAATACAATGACATTTGACGCGTAAGCAAGCACCCATTTTAGCCCTTAAGCCCAATCAGGGTTGATCCTTTGAAAACTTCTTCCACGCATTAGTTGGCATGCTGGTGTAAATATTCATTACGAATTTCCAAAATCCGGAAGGAACAGTTCCATTCAAAGTTTATTGTCAACAGTTGAGGAGACTAAATCAGCAGCTGGAAAATAATCAATTGAGCCTATTTAACAGAAGATTAATAATTCCTCATGGTGCAAATAATGGTTCGGCTCCACATTCCCCCCCCCCTTGTTCGCTTGATCGCGTTCCATTCGATTATCACCTTTTCAAGCCCGTTGAGAACACTAAGAAAAAAAACTACTTGAACTAGTATTTTAAGTAAAATTCAATCTTTTTGAAAACTTCAAGAACAATAATTACGGAAATCATGCCTTATTTAACCATACGGTTTATTTAAAAATAAATTAGATTTTAATATTAGCTTTAGAATGCGCGCTTTCCTACTGCTATCTCTAATATTTTGACCCTATATTGGTGGATTTTTTGTTGTAAATTTGTTTCAAAAATCATTTGATCAAAAATTCACATCTATGTATGAGCATGCAGATCAAGCTCACTGCGGAGCAAACGTTGGATCAGTTACACCACATTGCGTTTTCAAAACGTGAAAATCGTTAACAAGAATTGTGCTTCCCTTAGTTTTCCGAACCGAACGTGCCTTAAGGCAATGAAATCTAAGTGGGGGGTGGGGGGGGGGGGGGGGGGGGGGGGTTTGACAATTTTAAATACATAAAGCGCCAATAACCAAAGGATTACCTTTGTTAACTGGCCAATTAGAAAGCCTAGACAGGATAAAGAAAATATTGTCTGAAAGTGGGCGTAGTTTAACATGCATAGCCAAGGATCTTTAGTTCGGATCTATTCAGCAAAATTTATACATATCAAATGGCAGGCTTTATGGTAGTTATTAGTCCTTTAGCTGATTTTGGGCTTCACAGAGGGGAGGAACATCAAAGTCACAAAAGTCGAGAGGGGGTTGGGGAGGGAACAGAAAAGTGATTCACAGATGCAAAAGAGACAGAGAAAAAGGTGAGGTGAGTACTGTTGAAGTAGTCGAATTTGACATACAGTCGGGTCATGGTGGTTTGAAGGCAGAAGTCAACTGCCGGTTGATAGAATTTTCGGGCGTATGAGTATACGTTGCCCAGGATGCACCATGTAGACACTCCTTTTCAGCTAAGTCATGTGCAAGATCATTTGATTTATCTCTGCCCGGTCAACCGTTCAATTTAGACCCTGGCAAACCTCCGTCCACAAACTAGGACGATGAGAAGACGATGTCACCCATAGATTGTGCCCACAATGCATACAGATGAAGTGAAATGAGTCATTCCAAAGTTTCAGTAATAAGATGAGTCGGACGAGTTGTTAATGTGACTGGGGTTAAAGTAAACTTGGACGGAGGGTTTAAGATATCTAAATCAAAATAGCCAAAAAATTGTTCATTAGATTGATCAGCCTCTTTCAAAGATAAGGAAGACAAAACAATTGGTTTGGAGCCCGAACAAATGCCAAATTAGAATTATTCGAAGTGGAGAAAAGACAAATGGCGTGTGCAGTGTGTGCGCAGAATTAAGGGCTCCTTTGTTTTCATGATGAGGTGGTCAGAAAGCGCATTATCATATGACAAGGCAGAAATGAGTCACAACACGGCACTTCCCATAGCACTACCAAAATGCAGCATGAGACAGATTAATTTAATTTGTGTTCTTTGTTTCAAGAAAAAATTTGGTTCTGCTTTCGATAATGTAAATAGACTAAATGCCAATTACTTTCTAAGTTGTATTTGGTTAAATGAGGTATTCGAATGAGTTAGAGGGCAGATATAATTGAGAGACTATTTTACCTCATCACTTCGAAGTTACTGCGGAACCACATTCGGTAGAATATAAATCTTCTTGGTTCAATCCCTCGACCTTGCACTTTCTTATAGTGTTGCAACTATAAGGAATTTAAGTGCCTTAATTCGGTTAAAATACGAGGTAATCATCACTCAATTGCTCTTTAAATGTCACTTCCCTTTGGTTGTTGTATTTACTCCACTGAATTCAAATAGTCTGTCTTTCTAAAATGAACTTGGTTTGAGTGACTATAACAAAAAGATCACCACCATGTTTGGCCTTCCACACAGTTGGCTATTTAAACAAATGTTCGAATACTTATCTGGATGTGATAATTCTGGCTGTAAATTGCTGATCGGTATTTCGGTTACAAATTAATGTCCGCATAAAGCCAACATAGCCGTAATTGTAATATCGAAGCTTGAATTATTTATAAGCAGATTGAGCGGCTTACTAATAAGCTCGTGCTACGTTTATTTTCGCGAATTATCTTTATCTGAATAAAAATTGGAAGCAAATTTGACAATGCGGAATGATTTATTCGAAACAAACAACTTTCTAGTTAAACCGAGAGAATATTTTGTGAGGAGAAAATGATAATTAGTTAATACAATGATGTGTTCCCCTATATTAGCCCAAAAGCAGTCAAATCGACTGGTGCGGAAATTACTGGATCTTCAAGGATTAGGTGAAATTAATTGAAAGATTTACCCAAAACTTTCATAAATTTGTCATTGTAAAGTGCATGGGTAAGTGTCTGATACTTGGCTATTACCCTAACCAAAATATTATACTTCATCTGGTTTCGCATGTTAGTACGTTGTACACCTAGGGTGCGCGATAGACTTACCTCCACGGGGTGCAACCTGGGCAACGTATACTCATACGGTAAAAAAAGTCTATTAACCGGCAGTTGACTTCTGACTTCAAACTACTATCACCCTACTGTATGTCATATTCGACTACTTCTACAATACTTACCTCACATTTTTTCTACCATTGTGTCTGTCTGTTACTTTTGCATCTTTGAAACCCTCTTCTGTCCCCCTCTCTCGACTTTTTTTTCACTTTGACGTTCCTTCTACTCTGTGAAGCCTAAAGGGCTAATGATAAACATAAATGTTGTACACCTTTCACTTCTCAAACGGAGTACTCAGCACCAGATCTAAATTTTGACCAGTTTATGAATAAGAATTAATGTTAGCAGTATTCCTGGTTGAATGCAGAGTGAAACGATATGGGGAAATTGCATTTGAGTCAATACTGCTTATCCGCTAAATAGGGACGGGAACCTTTCTATATGAGGGAACAAAGTGCCTGAATAAGACGTACAAGTACAAAATATTCTATCCTGGGTGAAGGCGACTTCAATCGAATTGTCATCAATTGAATTAACAAGGAAATTTTCCTAATTATTCAAGATGGGAGACGACACGCACCCTATTAATATTACTACTTTTAATAAATGGGTAACAACTATATAATTTGGAATGCAAGGAATTTTCTCTACAATTGATTTTTAATGCCTATTTCATGGAGAAGGGATTTAAAAGAGAAACAGCGAGTCAATAAAAAGTAACACACTGTGAGGAACATATCTGGAAAGAAATGAAAAGAGGAGCATTCAAATATGAAAATAATGCAGAGAGATATGATTTCGAATGGAGAAAATTTTCCATTGTATTCATATAATCTATAATGAAAACGAAAAATGAAAATGTTAGAAAGATAAAAACGTCTGGTGAATATCATAAAAAGTATTTAATTATAATATTCTGCATATAAGGATATGGAGTGTTATTATGAAAGAGTTGATTAATATTCAAAGTAATCTTATTATAAAGATTTAGCATTATTCAAAACTATCTTGTTTGTCTAGTTTGTAGAATCAGAGTACCAACTAATGATATTAACGTTTCCTTAAAGAGGAGGAAGATTAAGCAGTTATTAAAAAGCTAATTTTGAATTACATTGAGGGAAACTATAGTGAACCATTTTTATTTTGAATGCAAAGTTGATTAATAAAATTTGCTAATTTTCAAATAATGAATAAATTCAAAATGAAAAAAATAGATTTATTGAATCATTTAGTACAATGAATCAACTCAAAAGCACTTTCTTCTTAAAATAATAATACAATTAATACGCTAAAATGTCCAATTTTTTAAAATTAATGCATACTATTTCAACTTTCATCAAATCAAATAATATGTATAGATGTGTATATTAACCTTCAATATCCTATCACATCTAAGTCAATTCTGGGCGCCGATTCTATTAGTTGAGGTGTAGGTATTTTCTGTTTATTTTGTATTGCTAATTTATTTCAATTGTAAATGTAGCATTAAAACGTCGTATAGATGAAATAATATTTTTATTGAATTTTGAAATGCGTATATAGTATAAAATGTTACCTAACTTTGCTATTTATTTATTAATTGAGATAGCTTTCTAGTAAGATGGCAACGGACATCGAAGCTCAAGTCGTTCACGAGCCACAAACATCAGCTCCGCTCCTACTTCCGGACTTTGAAGTCCCTGCTGGACTAAGATTCTTGCTCCGAACAACTAATCTTAGGGTTTATCGAGTTCCAATCGAAGGCGAAAGTAAGCCATATTAATGCTATTGTTAGCATTCAGTGTCAAATAATTCTTTTATAAATACTCTTGTCTGGGTTCACATTTATTTTAAATTATATAGTAGTTGCTCATTTTCATCTTGGATCATAAATTTTATATATCTCATGCTATTCTATCAAAAAGCACTCATTTTGTCTATTAATGGATAAATTTGGTTAAAATAACTATTAAATAATTTATCGAATTAATCTCTCATGCAGTCTGCGGTTAAATAAATGGAATTTATATTGCCTACACTGAATTGATTAATAAATGGATTTCGTTGGTTTTGTGAAATTCATTCAAATATTCATACTTTGGTTGTTTTATTTATAGAACACTAATGGGTCGTTGTGTCATAATTATTGAGCTCATGGTTCATCCAACTTGCACTAGTTATGGAAACTGAATTCACTTGCGCCAAAATATTCCAGATCTTCATGAACTTTCGAAAGGCATTCAACCTTACCAATTAAAAAAATATGACAATAGATAGGCATATTTTAAGGGTTATTGATTATCAAGGACACCATCTAGTCTCTCTAATATCACGTCTTTTTTAAACTGCTTTGCTATAGGCCTTGGTAGCTGCGTCTAATCTAGGATTAACAGCCAGTTAGAAAATATCTTAAGGCTTTTAAGAAACAATTAAGGAAATAATTAATTCAGTGACAATTTGTCACTTTGTGTTCACAGCCCCCTTTAGATTAAAATTGTTCGAATAGAATGCTCAACATCATTCTAATAGGTGGGTCAAAATGTCATTCTGAAATTACCACAATATTCTGCTAAATTGTCGATTATTTGGTCCACCTTTGTTGCTTAGATTGAACCCTTTTTATGCAATCATTGATTTTCCATTTGGCTGTTAGTTAGCGTAATTTTTTAAGATACTTATTATCCCTCACCGGCTTGGGTTCTTTAATACCCTTATCAATTATCTCTCAGACTGTAGAATTAGCAAAAACAACTCATATCTCACCCACTGTCAATGTAGGTTCCCATTATTGTAATCTGACCTACATTTTTAAGAAACAGCACTAAAATTTTGCATCTTCCTCACCAACCTCTAAAGAATATGTGGAAATTCTAATCTATTAAATTGAACTATTTACAGGAGCAAAATGCTTACTAATTCTTCGTCACTCTTCCATTTATCAAAACTCTATTTCAAATCGTCCTTTTTTCTGCCATTGTTTACATATTTTAACTTGGGGTGAACGGGGCAGGATTTGTTTATATTAAACCAGTTCGATCAATGAAGGGTGGATGTACAGTTGGCTTGTGCTAATTAGTCATACACTATAACCATTTCCACTCTAAAAAACGTATATCTATAAAAAAGAATATTCATAGCAATCATTATGATTTTCAGTAGTAAATTTGAAAATGCAATTTGTTAATTTATGTTTGTTTCAAAGGCACATATTTAGTTGCTATGCTTCTATGAGTTCACCGATAAGATTTGGAAACTACTACATTTTTTCTTCAAATTTCTCCTTGATTTCCTTCTTCTACTGTAGATGAATATGGATTTTATTGGGAAATTTTTAATCAAATTAAAGTGCTTTTAGAAGCTAGCATATATCAATAAACAATTGAAAATGACATTTCTCTGACTCAGTAACTCAATCCCATTTTCGCTATGAAAATCTATCACCCTCACGTCTCATAAGGATCTTTTTGACAACAAGTTAAGAATTCAGTTTAATAAAAGAACTAACAACTTTCTACATACATATTTTTGTGATATTCATTTTTTATGCTAATTTCTTAAGCAATAAATTTGAGCTGAATATCGATTGAATGCCACTAACCGATTTAAGGAAACTTAATATCCTTTGAGGTTTAACAACGCGTTTCACATGCATTAGCCCGCTTGCAATCTCACCAATGGTCTATATTTGAAAAGTTCTCAAGATTGTTTGCAAGAAGCAGCCAGTAAGCTGTCAAACTATTGTTCACTTCTCATTTTATTTAGTAAAAAACTTCCAATTTATTAAAAATTAATGATTAGTGCCTGAATAGAAATAGAAGATGAACTTTGTGGTATTCTATAGCCATCAAAGTAAGGATTGGTGTTTTGAATCATCTAAATCATCTCAATTGTCATTCTGATTCATGTTATTCACTATTTTCCATTCTGAGAACCAATTTTTTTACTAATAAATGATATGCCTATTTCTCTTAGTGGCATATGCATGTTGTACCAGAATTGTTGATGCGCGTCACAAATTTCTATAACAACTTCCCACCATGCTGCAATAGCAAGACATTGAGAACGTTTGTGCTAGTATCTAGCCTCAAAATTCCACTGGTTGTAAATAGTGCAAAATAAGGAATAAACGGTGGTGGAAAGTGTGCAGTGATGATGAATGCATCAGCAATTTTTTGCAAGTACTATTTTTTAAATGAGCATAGCAATTACCCACAGAGTTGATCTAATTTGTTGCCATATATCTCGTCTTATTTGACCAAGTTCTCATAGCTCGTCTACTTAGAGCTGACTCTTCGTATTTGTCAACGCTTTTAATCCACTTTAATTGCAACGACCCCCCTCGTAGCTTCTAGCAATGGCAATGAGCTCACTTAAACTAATTTAATTTGCCACTTTTGAGATAATCGCTTGAAGCATATTGGCAAAATCGTCTCTTTTGTCAAAATCTGTGCTTTTTTTAGATAACAGCAATCTTATCTTGAAGTACCATTGAAAAGAAAGTGTACTCTATATCAAAGAGTTGTGATGATGTAAATCATGATTTAGAGTTTGCTAAAATTTGTGCTTTCATAAGATTGGAAAATGTAGAAAGAACTTTGAGGTATGTATTAATTCAGTTTTATGTTCTCCGCTAGATGTGATATGGCATTATTTTATTTCAAATGGAAGGCGTTTTGATAGTTATTATTAGCCCATTAGCTGACTTCAGGCTTCACAGAGAGGAGGAGGAATATCAAAGTGACAAAAGGTCGAGAGGGGGAACAGAGTAATAATTCACAGATGCAAAAGAGACAGAGAGACACAAAGGCAGTGAGAAAAGGTAAGATGGGTACTGTGAAAGTTGTCGAATATGACATACAGTGGGGTTTGGAGTCAGAAGTCAACTGCCAGTTAGTAGACTTTTTAGCCGTTCGAGTATACGTTCCCCAGGGTGCACCACGTGGAGGTAAGTCTATCGCACACCTCCTATATTTCATTGTTGCTTTGATTGGAAAAGTGCATATATTTGGTGATAGAAAATTCATTTCCTGCAATAGATATACAAAATTGTCAGAGTTTTTGAACTTGTCTACCAATCGGCAACTTTTGCGTTTTTTTTGAGATAAAGGTGTTAGGAAGTGGCGATGATGATGAATCATTTCAGAATTGTTTGGTCAGGTTACTACTACGAAAGCCATCAAGTATTGTCATGCAAAACTTAAGGCCACGCCTTCTAAAATGGCAGCACGAGCAGTATGAAAAAGTCTAGATGGGTGCTTAGGTATGTTTCGAATTTGAAAAGAAACTCATTGTTAATGAGGCTCCATAAGTGACTCACGCGTGAGTTCACAATAAATCGATAAATCAATACGCTAACTACTATTTGTCAGTCTTGTCACACCAAGTTAACTTTTTCTTCCAACTTCGGAGAAGTTAAAGTAAGCTTACGTGTTATTATCTAGTCTTCATTATCTTAGCTTTGTGGAACTGGCATAGCATGAAATGTGCACTACAATTAAATCTTTTTTCAAGTAATTTCTTTCGAAACGAAATAATTCCTTCCACTAAATTAACTGTGCCTGCCATCCTTCTAGATAAATGCTGTTCAGCTTTCCCCCGCAAATTCTACGTTGCCGATGGAGAGGGAAATGCAATTCTGGAAGGCGTGGAATCTAGCAGTTGGTGTGCTCGACTCTGCGCTGAGTCTTGTCATGCATTCGAGTTGGATTTTCGTGATGCTGACGGCGTTACTGTCCTCTCAATGGAAAGGACTGCGTCTTGTTCCGCCTTCTACTGTTGTAACGCTCCTGTAAGTAATACAATCGTCGCCTCAATTGAGTTCTTCTTTACTCATGCAATGATGTTTTGATATTGCTAACAGTACACTTCAACATCGCTCATTGTGGCACATTTGTTATTCTACTTTGTCTCTTTACTTCCCCCCTCCCCCCCGCCCCTCCAAAGGTTGTGAGACAAACTACACAAGTAGACGTTTATTGAATTGGGAGTGGGTAACGAATGATCGTTAAGTTATTCGATTACCGTTGTAAGCCTATTAAGTACAATTGTATTTATATCAAATGACAGGCGTCTTGATGGTTATCATAAGCCCTTTAGTTGACTTCAGGCTTCTCAGAGGAGAAGAAACATCAAATTGAAAAAGTCGACCGGGGGGGGGGGAACAGAAGAGTGTTTCAAAGATGTAAGAGACAGACCCAAAGGTAGAAAAAAGGTGAGGTGAGTACTGTGGAAGTAGTCGAATACGCATACAGTGGGGTGAAGGTAGTTTGAAGTGAGAAGTCAACTGCCAGTAAATAGACTTTTTTGCCGTATGAATATACGTTGCCCAGGGTGCACCACGTGGAGATATGTCTATCGTACACCCAAGTACAATTGTTCATAATGAGAAGTTAGACATTTTTGAGGTGTGGAAATTATCACTGTAGATAGTATTTTTCCAATATAATGTTTTGTAATATATTTCAATTACCTTTTTAATTCTAATAATTAGCCTTTATGTTAAGGTTTACTAATCATGGCGTTAGGGAATTAAAAAAAACCTTAAATGGCTCTTAGTGTGCCTCGATGCTAATGATTTGGTAATATATGTGATTAAAAAACAAACTAATTGGAATTTCTGCCTATTGTGGCAGTTTTTTTTTCATATTGCTCCTAGATTATTTTTTGTGTGTGTAGGTTGAAATATTAGATTATATACATATATTTTTTTTCGTTTTCTTGCTACCGTTAGCTAATTTCGACTTTTTTTGCATTTATTTTGATTAGAACATATCTTCAGCGCTTTATGAAATTCCCATTAAACGATGCTTGCTTGCCCGTGTTATTTATTAAATAATTGCTTGTTTTATTTAATTGCGTTTCGTTTTTTGGTTTTGTAATAATGATACTTTGTGATAAAACTCTTAAGCAGTTGGGTGGCTGTGAGACCGTGTTGAAAATCTCTTATACCTAGGCTCAATGACTTTTGGGATGAAATTTGTTTTAATCATCGGATGGTTTTTCTGTTTGCCGTTTAGAGCCTATATGCATATCCCTGTTAAGCGATTATTTTGCTATTTCTTATCCAATTTATTAAAGCGTAGAGATTTCACACCATCTCAGCAGTTGTAGATGAGAATATTTACCCAAAGTTTGGAGAGGGAGAGAGAAAGTTATTCTAATGCCTTTTTTCCTAATCTTAAGACTTAGAATTGTGAAATATTGACACTCATATTGATAGTTAAAAAAATTATTACGCCAAATAATAGCTAGAATTCTGTTGGTGCATTTATTGGCTAAAATCACTTCGAACTCCTTAAAACTTCTCCTTGTGATAGCTGTGGCATTACCTCAGGCGGGGGGGGGGGGGGGGGGGAGGGGTACTTTTTCGAAGGCCCAAATTTTATTGACGCCCATTAAAATTTCGGTCATCCAACCAACTGCCAAGTAAGCTGTCTGTTTTTTCTCGTGCATACAGCGTGGCAGTCCAACATCAGCCGATACCAGGGGTTGAACATAAGAGTGTAACATTGGCAATATTTCACCTATCATGCTAGAAAAAGAAAATTAAACAAATATTTTTCAAATGTTTTATCGTTTAATTTGTTCTTTTTTTGGAGTGTATAGTCTTGGTTAACTCATTATACCCTTTGCTTAACCCTTTAACACCCGAATGATTTTCCAGTGAGAAATGCACCCAACCGCACTCCCACGTGCGTCTCTCAGCGGGCTGATGCCGACGTGATGAGTTTTGGTGGCGTATCAGTCGAAGGCTATAGACACGTATTGAACATGTGTCAAACAGTTATAGCGCCTTCTGCTACGAGTCTAGTACCGATGCAGCATATTTTGTAGGATAACCGTGCAGTCCTGTGGGCGATAAAAGAATGACTCGCACTATTATGATTAATTGGAAAACTAGATCCTCATAATAAGGACACATTTTGAGCTATCGGTGGCGTAGTGGACAACCTGGACGTCTGAAAAGTCAGAGGTCACGAGACCAATGACCATGGGTGCACATGATATTTGACCCTTTAACGCCCAAATGATTTTCCAGTGAGAAATACACTCAACCGCACACACATGCGTCTCAGTAGGCTGATGCCGACGTGATGAGTTTTGGTGACATATCAGTAGAAGACTATAGACACATATTGAACATGTTTCAAACGTCGATAGCGCCTTCTGTTTCGAGTCCAGTACCAACGGAGATTATTTTGAAAGAGACCCGTAGGCGTTAATGGGTTAACATCATAATTAATCTCAATATATTTAAACAAACCTCCTAAAAAATTCCAGTAGATGTTGGTATGATTTGTTCCTGAAATTTTTCAAAAAAATCATGTGCAATTTTTCCAAAGATTTTAGCTTATGTCTGTTGAGTAGAAAGAGAGTATTTAGGTAGTGTTCACGTCTACCAAGTCAAGGATCTAGAGAGATCCACCGATGTTGTGTGTATGGCTAGTTGCATTGGTCACTTTTGGTCAAGAAGGTGGAGGTGGAGGTGAATTACGAGTTCACCTAAAAGGTACTTTCCTTCACCGATTTCACGCTTGTGAAAACTTCTCCAAAAGATGAGGGAATTTCAAATAAGGTAGAAGGCTTTCGAAAACCTACGAATTGGCACTTCAACGTTTTTCCATTCCCCCTAACTTGCAGTACTATGTAAGTTCATCAAATAGCTCAATATTCTACTCTTAATATTGATAAGTAATGCTCAAATCCATATTTATTTCCCTCCAGTAGATCCGCTCTGTACATGTATTTCTTAATTAATTGCTGAGATAGCGTTCATTGTCACGGTAATCCCAGTGATTTAATGGCTGTGTTAAACTATTTGCCACTTTCCACAAACTTTTTTCACCAAAAGTCCCAAAGCAATACATGAATTTTGAATTAAATACTTAAAACGTGAAATAAAACTATTTTTAAAGACTATATATTCTTCATACTACTTTTAGGCAATTTCAGTAACATCGGGAACCGACAATTACGGCACCGTAGCACACACTGGATCAATTCCTCGTACCCGACTTACCATCTCCGATGCGATTGATAGACCACAGCTCCGACTTATTGGACCTTGCACTCGTCAAAGTCACTATATTGATGGAATTTTCAAGGTAAGGCAACTTTGGCTGTCAGAGATTAAGCAACAACTCAAATGTGCCATCTCAATTTCTGTGCTCTACGCAATTTTATACTGCCACACCAAAACGATAGCTGAGGTCTTAAGGTCATTCCATATATATATATGACGTTAGTGGGAGTCACATTGTAGGGTGTATATGATTGTACCGAGGAGAGGTTAGGAATGTGTGAAATTTGTTGACACTATGCGAGGATTTTATGCGCTTAGATCAATATCAAGACGATTTCAGACCACTCAAGAGGTTGCAATTTGGCAAAAAACCTGCTTGAGGGTGAGAATAAATCTATTTAAATTGTAATTGAATTTCGTGTACTTCTTGATATTTTGTAACTTCTGAGTTAACAAAGTTTTGTCTGGTATTTATCAGCTTAAATTTTTAGTTTTGCCATTTTCTAGCTTTAAAAGTGAGTGAACAGCGACACTATCACTAATAGGCAAAGTTTGAAACCCCGATTAAAATCGAGTTCAAAATGAGCATATAATGAATACAGAATTCTCTCTAGTTACATCGGTTAATTAAATAATTTTAAACGTTTCGCCAAAATTATTTTTAAGTTGATGTTTTTGCGAATAGCTACGATTATTGCATACTTTTAATTATGACAAGTTTAACATTTTAAGGGCTAAATTTTCTGAACTACCTGGATGGCGTTTTTTCTCGAAGGTTCTATTTTTTGAATTCCCTTAGCTCTTGTGAGTTAGAGCTATGCTGATGTCTCGAGTGTAATCGCTTGCATCTCCGCATTAGGCCTTGTTCTCGTAGTTATGCGTTTTAATAAGCCCAAAAATCCGCTCTTAAAATACTTTAATGCAATGGAGATTAGCGTCTAATTAAAAGTGCCAATAATAATAGACTTGTTCTCTTGTGAATAAGCTGCTTATTATTAAACTTAAGATATTCAATGTATATTTCTACTTTTAATTATATGTTTGTATTGTGATTATTCTTTCCTAAACGTCAATGTTATTTCTCTTCCTTCCACTCTCGTAGTTAAAATGCTTCAATGAACGTGGTTCTTTGGGCCGTCTAACAGTTCAACATTTCGCTGAAATGGACAGTTATCAACTCTTCTTCCCAGTTGACATGGATGTTCGAATGAAATGCCTCATCATCGCATCTGCTGTCCTGTTGGTAAGTCAAGTACTGATTTATATATAAGTAGTTTTGCGTAGGGATTTACGTATAACCTATCTTGTGCTTTCATTGTATAAATTGTCTAAACACCATAAGAAGTAAGTGGTCCAATGTAAGATGGCCAATATCTGAACCTAAGTTACAGCATACGCTGACCTACTGAATTTAATATAAGTAGTTTGCCTCAGTAACTTCTAGTGAAATTAAGGTTTATGCAATGCGCCTTTTGCATAAAATAAATAAAAGGATAAAATAATCCGGTCTAGCATCCACCACAGTCTCACATCTGGCATGCTTGATGAAGAACTTAATGCCCATTTAACGCATCATATTTGAATGTATTTGAGTAAGTGTAGATGGATACTAGATGACAGAAATAGCTTGCGAATTTATTAAAATGCGAAGGTTTAGATACTGACGGAGCTAGAAGCAAGTGTCAAGATAGAGCAACGTTACTGTAAGACGTCACAGAACTTTACTCCAGCCTGAAGGCAATTCATGCAATGCTCTAAATTGTATGACCTTCAAATAAATAAACAGAATTTATATTAACTTTATTATTGATCTTCGATGATATATTTTCCAATTTCGTATCATAGGAAAAAAATGCAAACATTGGGGGTCTCTAGAGATGCTCGATATAGCCAATGAAGTCAGGGTATCAAAATATTCTTAATTACTTTTTATTCGAAATTGATTATATTGGAAAAATATCAATTAAGCACTATTGTTGTTTTATTCACAGTGAGTAGAAATCATTTATAATTTGTGTGAAGCAAGATAAATCGACTAATAAGTGATAAAAGAGAGGGTCCGAAAAGATGTTGAGATCGATGTCAAACAATTTCGATCACTGGATAGTAGTAGTAGAGGTTCCACGATTCGAAGCTCGTGATTTTTCGTCGTTTATGAGGTCCTCCACTTTCTGTCACTTCAATTCACTTCGTCCCAAGAGTTGAGAGGGCAAGATGGTCTTATGTAGACATGAGCAGAGATGAGTTAATTAAAATGTCAATTTTTTTAAATGTTCAAAGTTTGCATTTCGAGATTTAGAATAGATTAGAAAGGACCCTAATTGAATGTGTCTATAAGCTAAAATCTCCTTAACCACCTATTGTGGCATATTTTCGTTGGCAATGACTGGTTTTATTTTTAAATTTCTATATTAATTCATTTCACGTCAATTGTATATTTTAATTCATTCAAATTTTGCAGATTTAATACATCTACTGAAAGAATGTCGTTTTGCACATTAAAGTGTGCTGAAGCTGGAAAAATGTCAGCGAAATGTCAACAAAATCCTTAGCGATTTCCAGTTTTAAAAAAATTTATGCAGCACTTGTTTTTTAATCAGATTAAAAATTTTAGAAGAAACCTTTGTGATTAAATACTTTGAAGACGTTCAAATTAAGTCTTTCATTGAGTAATTCACTTCAATAGAATCATCAGCAGTTGATAAGTGAGAAACTTTAAATCAACTTGTGATATGACTGGGTGTTTGTTATTAGCTAAATATTTTAGTACTTTAAAAGATAATAACTTTTAAATATTTTCATTTAGAGGCGTCAAATTTCAAATTAATTTTAACTCTAATGGGTATGCATTATATAAATTGGCTTTTGCATTTATTTGCAAGCAGTAAACCTTTAAACTATGTTAGATACCGATCATTTATTCAAATAATACATGACAATTGATTTCTTTAATTCTCCATTGAATAATGACCACAGGCATTCACAGCCTACCGTGAACTACCTGGCCAACTAATTAATCAGTAAAAATATTAAAAATTTTAAAAAGAAAGCGAAAGAAACTTTTCAGCAATTTTAAGTTGAAAAGGATTATCCCTTATGCTCTCTATTAAGATAAATGAAAGCTGATTGGTTATTCGTCTTCTTTTCTGAAAGAAACAAGTGAAGGGAAAATTTGCTGGTAATTAAACGATTTATCTGTTCCTTTGACCTATTTCCATTTCCTGTGTGAAAAATTAGTAAATCAAATTCAATTCCTCTACTAATTTTTCGCAATTTTATGCTTTTCTGTTTCATTTATATTGGGCAGAAGAAGGTCCCTGGACTTGTATTAAAGAAAAAATTTTAAATTTTTATCTAAAATCTAATCATGTTTGACATTCTTTTGACTCCTAACTCAAAACTGCCCTAGTTCTCAGATGATGGAGGGGATTTTTTGGCTGCCTTAGTGGATTGACAAAGGACTGAAAACTGCCATCTTAAGTCGGAGTATTGTGTGTTGCTTTTCTAACTGAAACCTCTACAATGATTCGTTCTACTCTGGGTCTTCTCGTCACTTTTTTCATCTGTTTTTGATATATCTTATTTATTCAAGCTCCCTAGTAGTCCAACTGACTTGATTTCCTCTGACTCGGACTAAAATGATACTGACAATCTTGTGATCCCATCATTAAACACTAGCATGGGGACAGAATCCGTTGTTTTTTTCCTTTAACCCATCGTTCTTCACTTTCATACGCTTTTACTAATGCGGTTGTTATGCTAGGGTTCCAGTCAATCTATCATTTTTTGAGGGGAGTTTTATCTGAATAGTTGGAACTTAAATAAACACCCTTTTGCTGCGCTAATAGACTCTCCATCTGTCTCTTTCGCTGGTTAGTGGGTGGGGTTTGGACACACACTCTGTTTTAGAAGGTCGTTAGAGCTAACAATTTAACTCTCCGCATGTCTCCTCCTGCGCTTGTCACAGTGTGTGTGAAGCAACTCCGCAACGCTTAAACATGCTGCTCCTCCCTCCCTCCCTCCATCACTCAATTCCCGTTTCTCGTCCAACCGTTTTCTGAGACTGCTAGCCGGGGGGTGGGTGGGGGGGGGTGTTGTTAGGGAGAAGTAGAATCGATACAATACGGAAGTGTTGATGTACTCTTCAGTAGTTAATCAGTTACTGCGAATCTGAAAATAACTGAAGCTACGAGTTTGGCTTAAAATTGAGTAGAAAAGCGCTTCAAATCGAAAATTGTTTGGCTCTGAGAGCCATATTAGGTCGTGTAAAGAGCTATCGATGCACTAAATAGCCAGTTTTTCAGTTAAATAATAAACTAAAGCTTATCGATTTTTTGCTTGGCTACTACAATCACTTTGACGCAAGAAACTTCATTGAATTGCGAAATTAGTTGGAAAAATCATTTGTAAAGATAATGTTAATCGCCGTCTTTAAATTAGTTTCGGGTTGCTTAAGCTATTAAAGAATAAAGTTATGTCCTTTACGCTAAGGATTAATCAGAAGACAATCATTACTATGAGCAAGAACTTTATTATAAATGGCAATATTTTTGTTTTTTAAGAAATTGAAATGACAGTGGAGAAATTTGTAGTCATGATTAAAATTTTGTCGAATATAAGCCCCCTTTAAATAAACCGAACAAATCAACTCCTGTGAAATGTTTTATTGTAAATTGGTGGAAATTAGACTTCAACTTCAGTGGTTTCTTGATTGGCTAAAAAAATAATCTTAATCAATTAGTTTCATAATTTGGATTTGATTCCTCATTTCTTAAATAAAGCCACAAACAACCTCGTGCCTAATTTGAAAAAAAAATTTGCGGAAGTTTCCCTTAACCTGTCTCTACACGACTTAAAATGTCAGAAAGCGAGAATTATTGCAGAAAATTCAACGGCTCGTCATCAGTACTTCTTTTTTCTGTTCAAGCACACGACTAGCCGTAGTAGACACATCATGTAAATGCAATTCTTCCACGTGATTTGTCGCTTTTAAATTCGGGCTAACCGCCTGTGACCAAATTTGGAATGAATTTTGTTTAATTCTCTAGAAGTAAAGTAAAAATGGGAAACACATTGATATTTTGCTAATGCAGTTAAAATCAATATGAAGTAAAGATTATTTAAAACAGAATTCAACCGGAACTTAATCAATTTGAAGATAAGAAATGTTTGGCCAGTAAATTCTTTCCTTTTTTTCTGCCTTACTTAAAAAGCACCCTGGATTTGTTTCTGCAAGAACAATGGTTTTCCAAACAAACCGTCCTATTTTTATTAAATTTGAATTCGCATTTTTCTCCCAAGTAAAGCAACCAAAATAAGATTTAAACGAATTACTAATGCTATTGTTAAACTTGCGCTCGCAAAATTGCTGCACTTAAAATTTTCATCTTTTTCTTGGCGTTTTAGGACTGTATCTTCGCGTGAATTTGATGGGACATGAAATATAAAGCGCATCGATTAATCCCTATGCTCATTTCCCTACTCTACAAAAAATCGATTTTTTGGTCCGAAGCCATTCTGTACACCACACCTCAACAACCCTCTTCCAACAACGCTCCATTATATCATATGTAGACGGCCTTGTTTTATTATACAAACCCCACTTTTGTGTGTATTTGATTCAACTTTGCTCTCTTTTTCCCAGTTCCAATCAAAATTTAGGTATTGAACCCCCTAGCTTTCAATGGAACTTTTCTCCCCTAAGGTCAACTTCATGATAATTTATTTTAACAAATGTTGCATGGATGCTTATAATTAAATTAGAACTTCACTTGCAATTCATACTTGCCCGAATGGAGTTATGAACAAATTCATGAGTTATGACAAATTTATACAATTGGATTAATATAATTGAAGCAAATTATTGTTTTTTTTCATTTTAGTTTGTTGTTTCAGTTGCTAAGCTTATCACAAAAGGAGATTATCATTTAGGAAAATCAAAGTATTTGAATAGTGCTTATCTGATAATAACAGCTGCTTAAAAAATGCCGAAAATATGGTTGGTTTAAACAAAATGAAAATATGTATTCAGAAAGGGAGTACTTTAGTCTATTTCTACTTAACTTAGCAGATCATGCTTGCAAGTTCGAAGTTGGTAAGTTTACAGCCTATAATTAAGTCGAGGGGAACACTGTGATGCGAAAGATTACTAAATTAGCAGCTTATGGATACGAGATTAGATTTGCGATAATCCTCTCACAAAAAACGGCTATACTAGTTTGTCTCAACTAGATTAAGAAATGCTCTTACGCAATTCGTGATCTAATGGGT